TCATTGTTGACAACAAGAACAACTGCCCCTGCTGCTTACATTTTGTTCCCTTTCTCTGTCCTGTGACCCAACTTCGTCTGTTTTGTTTGAAAGCCAATCACACCCACTCCTACTCCTCACTCCCAAACATGAAATTCAACTGCAGTGAACTGAAAATGACTCAAAATGTCCAATAACAGGGAAAAACAGTTAAACTCACAAGGTAAATGATGAAATGCTTGGGCAGCATAAGCAATGACAAGTATGTAAGCCATCCCTGTGCATGGTAAGGTTTTTGGGATACTGTGATTAGAACAGAGCAGAAGCTACAATGGCCGGCACCTACCAATCACGTCTGTACAAATGAGCATCTGCAAATTAATAAGCAACTGAGAAAGAAGAATGAAAGATTTTTCTCTTTGTAAGTTTTCCCTATGGTGCTCATATAATAACTATTAATAATTTCCTAATGCATGTGGCAAACATGATTATCATACTAAGCAGGGAGGGCGCTATCAGGGAGGAAGAATTCCTGCTAGAATTGCTAAAGGGCCCTGCCCGTGCTGATCTAGAGCTCTGCTCCAAGGAGACCCTCCATATCAATAACCATGCCAATGGTGCCTCCATGTCCAACACAGGAAAAAAGTGGATGCAGGAAGGGTTTCTAGTATTGCCCACGTCACTACAATTATGGGGCACTTAAAGTGAGTCCTAGCTGACGAGAGGCAAAAGACCTACAGAACAACTATAGACATTCTTGGATACGGTGCCAGGATATCTGGGAGTACAGGAGCAGTGCTCTCCACAACACATTAAACTCCAAGTGTTTCAAGCTGATCCCGTATCTCATCAGCCTCTCCACAAAGGAGTGTTTTCCTCCCCTGGTTCTCCAAATTGGTGATTACCAGCAGTACTCACCCATGGTCCACCAGGCTCTATCAGGTCTGCCTCCAGCTTCAGCTGTTGCTCTGTGCTACTCTACCTTATGTCTAAACACGCCCAAATAGTACCAGTGCCCTTGGCGTGCCAAGCTGTCTCAACTGTCCTGCCTTTCCTAAGACTGTGGCTTCAGCCTGGATTTTCTCAACTTTATCCCACTGTCTACTGTCAAGACAGCACATGTAGCATCTCATCTGAAAGGCCCCTTTTGCTCAGCCTGAGCCCCACAGCACCTGTTCCCAGCCAGAGGCTAGTACCTCGTCTTACTGGTCTCTCAAGACACATCTAGCACTGTTCCTAGAACATCTTCAACACTCAGGACAGTCGTGGAACTTAACCCTACTGTTACAGTCTGAGAACTGCATCACTAGGCAGTGTCAACACCGAACACCATACAGTATACATTCGTGGACTGTATATATAGCCCAATATATGTTATACTGTACACCCATTGCATGTGGCTCTATAAAATATTACTGTGCTGAATATGTCAGGTAGCTGTAGTACAATGGTCAGTACTTAAAATTTAGACATATCAAAAAGGTATGTTTATATCAGTACCACCATGAACATTTGAGAAATACGTAGTGCTAAAAACACTATGATAGCTACTTTGTCGCAAGTTTATAGGAATGTTTCAATGCCACTGTGATCTTGGTTTGTTTTTGGTTTTTGTCTTGGTTTGCTTTCTATTGCTGTAATAAAAACGTGACCAAAAAGAAAGTTGGGGAGGGAAGAATTTCAGTTTACCCGTCCTGATCACAGTCTATTATAAAACAGCTCAAGACAGGAACCTAGAGGCAGGAACTGAAGCGGAGGCTATGGACTAACATTGGTAACTGGCTTGCTCTCCATTACTTCCTCAGCTAGCGCTCTTAGACTGCCCAGGACTTCCTGCTTAGTTGTGTGGCTATCTTCATTGGGCTAGACCCTCCCACATCATCCATCAATCAGGAAAATGCCCCACAGGCATGCCTATAGGCAATCTGATGTAGGCATTTACTCAGTTGAGGTTCCTCTCCCAGATAACTCCAGCTTATTTCAAGTTGACAAAAATCTAACCAGAAAAGCTTTGGTTGTTATTGTTTATATGGGGGTGTCACTATGTATCCCAGGCTAGCCTCAAACTCACTCTGTAGTCTTGAACTCTTGGTAATCCTCTTGCCTCGCCTTCCTGACTGCTTGAACTATACAGGTGTGTGCTACCTGTGGCTCCACAATAATCCTATGAAACCACTGTTGTATAGTGTCTGGCATTGACTGAATCACCATGCACTGTATGACTATGTTTTATGAACAAAAGGATCCCATGAATTTGGGGGTAGACTATTAGATTAATCATGTGGAAAACTGCAATGCTATTACACTTTAGATGATTTTCTGAAGGACCTTTGACCTCCAGCCCCCACTTTCTAGGGTAGGGTCTCCTCTGGTCTCCAGATCTTTTGAAAACTTTCTACCACTGCATACAACTGGTAGCCTTATCCTTAGGTCCCTCCTCTTCTCAAACACTGGCCGAGGGCTATTTCTCTAGTCTATGTGCCTTGTGATGCTCTGAGGAGTTAACTTGCTTGCTGACAAAGGTAGTGCCAGGGAGTGAGGGAGAAAAGACGAGCCATTTCTTGGCACCCAGAAGAGGCAGTCTCTGCCACTGAACCGTGTGAGGCTGTCTTGGGGTTGGGCCTGAGGTAGGCAGCACTCACTGGTTCTCACGGATGTTATGTTGCCACACTCCCTGGCTGGGCGAGCATTTTGATCTCCAGCCTACACCTTGGGGTATGGCAGTCACCAATACCTTCCACAGTGGCTGGTTTTCAGGAATGCCCAGACTTTGGGCTGGAATGACCCGCAGAGACCGACTTCCTCTCCAGCATCGGAGGGGTACCCTTCCCACCGTTAGACCAAGCATCCTTGCTCATGCCCCCTAAGGCCAAATCATCAGTCTCCCTTCAAGTCAGGCACTTGGGTGAGGGGGATCACGTGCCAGTCTCCATCTTGGCCCACTCAATAAAGTTCTACTCCCTCTAGGTCTGGTCCTGCCTAGGTCACAGCACCAGCACTGGCCCTGTGAGCCTGAAGCTAAGATGATGCTCTGGCTCCTGGAGGCGTATAAGAGAGGTACTCTTCAGTCTCGAGGAAGCTCACAGCCTGGAGGCTAAAATGCACAGAGAAAGTGCAAAGCACTTGGACAACAAACGTTTTTTTAAAAAATCAAATCCAAAATACAGATACACAAGTGCTTGTTAAAAATAATGTGTCTCAAGACATGTATTTTTCTATTCAAGGGACTCAGAGTTTCATAGCTGATTTCTAAAGACTGCAGAATTCAAGAGCTCTGATAACAGTTTAGACAAACCTCCTCCTCCCCCCAAAAAATGAACGCTCCTGAGTGGGTCAGGTGTGGTTCCAGGTCCCAACTATAAGGAGAAAGGCGCATACCTGGCCTGTGTGTATGTGCCTAGTGTTCTGATTTCATCTCTCTGCCCAGTGGTCATAGGGTTCTCCAATAGAGAAGTCTGAACACTCAGAAGAGATGAGAGAATCCTAACATTTTAAGACATAAGGGTGCTTTCAGGCACTTCAGTGACCCTCTTCTAACATCCACGTGGCTAAGGGTCTGAGTAGTTAGGACAGGCTTTTCAGAGGAAGAATTCAGTGGTTCCAGAAGGTATTTCACACCTTCCCCAACCCTGAACATAAACTGATATGGGGGTGGGGGGTGGCGTCTTTTCAGATCGCAGCTTTTTTCTTGATAGAGTTGATTCTTTAAAAACCTGGTAAAGCCAGGCATAAATGGCACAGGGTAAGAGTTCAAGCCAGCCTGGGCTTCAGCAGTGAACCTCTGTCACAAACAAACAAACCACAACCTGGTGAGGTACTGGATATAAAAAAAGTAGACATGAAGAGGAATTTAGGGGAAAGGTCCCAGGAAGACTTACTCTTAGTACAGTAGAGAAGAGTCTGGCTCCTCAGAGTCCACGGAAGAGAGGAGAAGGGTGAAGGAAAGGGACAAAAAGGGAGTCGCAGGAGGCCGCTAGATGTGTAGCGGAAGAGAGTTTTGTGGGATCTTGTGGCCATTGAGAAATCCCAAGGTGGTGAGATGGCCAAAATAACTTTTCGAAACATTTCAGAAATGTGATTGAAGACTGTTTGCCATGTGATGTAACCTCTCCCCTGTGACCCACAAACCTTCACTGAAAGTTCTGCTACATGTTATAGCCTCATTTTTGTGGTTTCAGGGTGGGAATTGAAAAGAGAACGGGCTGATGTGACAGCAAGAGCTAAAGGAACAGTCATAAGACTGGAACGGTGAAGAAAATTTCAAATTAGGCAGCGAACTAGAGCCAGAGGAGACCATGAAAACCCAAGTACCCCCAACAATTCACAGAAATCCTGGGGACAACATTGTACTTTCCACAGGACATAGGAATTGGAGCCAATGTCATTTGAATGATTTGCAAAGGACAAACTATCTCAGCTGACACCAGCTTCCAAACAAGGTTTCCCTTTCCAAATGAACGAATTCTTGGAAAACATAAATGTGCCACATGCACCTCTGCCACACAGGGCCTCACACCGGGACTGTTCACAGTAGAATCCAGAAATTGTGAGAGCACTTCATGAACGCCCTACAAGCTCACCGCGAGTGGAGCTGGCAGGGAGAGACTAATGCCTAGAGAGAGCATGCAGCGGGAGGGTCAATTTGGCCTGAGCTTTTTCTCAATTTGCCCTTAGTTCTCTACGCTCAGATCCATCAACCCTATCTTAATGACCTCTTCACATCGGCACTGCAGCCAGAAGGTCTTGTAAACAGACAAGGCCCAGGAGAAGATAGTGATGGCGGTCATAAAGGGTTGTGTAGAAACCAGATGGCTCTCAGCTTATTCTGCCCCCTATGAAGTCAAAAAGCAAACACTGGCCCTTGAAATTGGGCTTCTGGTCCAAAGGGTCCAGTCATGGTGCGGGCTGCGAGTGAGTAGGCTGTCCCAGGAAAGGTCATAAGTCCTGTCGGACTCTGGCCTATGCTCCCAAGCACCGCTCTTTACTCGGTGCCCCTCCAACCCTCGCCCCCACCTCCTTACCCCGAGATCTCCTGGGAAATTCGGTAGTCCAAGGTCGCTCAGTCCAGTGGAACACGTAGGGCTCAGTAGGGATGATGGCACCACCTGGTGGCGAACACGCTACAACTCACCCTGTGAAGCTCATCACCCAGGAGCAGCCAAGGAGGAAGGAACAGTTCTCGCAGCCCGGCCCAGCGTAGCGACGTCACCAGAGTGCGCCAATGCTCTCCGCCTCTTTCCCCACCCTCCTTGGGCCTGCCAGTACTTGACGTGGCGTCTCCGCCCTCTACCCTTACTTTGCGTGCGTGCTTGCGTGCGACTGAGGTTGCTGCGCGGGCAGGTCGGAGCTGCGCGCTGCTGCTTCTGGTTGTTCCGTGGCCGCCGTCTCCGTCCGGCAGTCTTGGACGGCGGAGCCGAGGAGGCGCGCGGGTCCCAGCCCTTCGCAAGCACAAGCAGTTCGGCGCGGGGCCTGGCGGGAAGGCGGGCGAGCGCGTGGCCGAGGGCGCAATGCTCT